AGAAGAAGAGATGGAACAAACCAAGAAAGAAAAAAATCAATTAACATAGGAACAAAAACAAAAAAAAAATAAAATAAAATTTAAAAAAAAGGGAAGAAAGAAAATTCAAGCGGAAATAAGCTGAAAAAAGTTCCCGGATGTAAAGGCAACTTGAAGCAGGCAGCGAGATGTGCATAAGAAAACGTTTACTTTGAACGTTTTTTTTTTCTTTATTATTATTATTATTATTCTCCTTCTTTCTTCGTTTTTTTTTCTTATTCTTATTCTCTTTGTATTTTTTCCCCTTGCTTTTACTGTTTATCCTATCGTTCATTTCGTTTTTCTTCTTATTTTTATCATTATTTCTTTTACCTTCCACTCAACTTTCTCCCGTATTCTTCAAATCGTTTAAAAATAACAGTGAAATGACAGGAACGCCCCCCGCCCCCCCAAAAAAAATAATAACAAATAAATAAATAAATAAATAATAATAATAAGAAGAAGAAGAAGAAGAATAAATAAACAAATAAATAAATAGATAAATAAAATCGTCATCTCCCTAAAGCAAAATTCGCTATCTCCCTAAAAAAAAAAAATCTTTCGCTATCTCCCTTAAAAAAAAAAATCCCTCGCCATCTCCCTCAAAAAAAAAAAAAAAAAAAAAAAAAAAAATCTCGCTACATCCCTCAAAAACTCCCTCGCTACCTCCCTCAAAAAAAATATCACCCCCCCCAAAAAAAATGATAATAATAATAATAATTATATATAATAATATAATAATGATAAAAATTTAAAAAAAATAAAACTCTTGCTGCCTCCTTGCGCCTCCGACTCGAGATCAGCATCTTCAAGACGGAATTTCAAGGTTATCTGACAGCTGATCAGCGTCTGGAATTTTCCTGTTGGGATATTGTTTCGTCTTTATGTTATGGCAACGCTTTTTTTGTTTGTTTTTTTATTTATGGGGGTGAGGAGAGAGGGGGTGTGGGGAGGGAGGGAGAGTGTGGGGGGAGGGGAGAGGGGGAGAGAGGGGGTAGAGGGTTGGAAGAGAGAGAAAGAGAGAGAGGGAGAGCGGAGAAGGAGGAAGGGGGGGAGAGAAAAAGGGAAGGGATAGAAGGTTAGAAGAAGGAGAAAGAAAGAGAAAGAGAGAGAGATAGATAGATAGATAGATAGAGAGAGAGAGAGAGAGAGACAGACAGACAGAGGCAGAAACAGAAAAAAAAGACAAAGACAGATATTGACAGACAGACAGACAAAAAGAAAGAAAAAGAGAATAAGACAAAACAAGACACAAACTAACCAACGAACGGACAAACAGACACGAAAAAAAAGAACAAGAAAAATCAAAATAGACGCATATATATTTCTCGCTGCATAAACATCCTCATTCTGTATAATCTCACGTTACGCACCTTTAATTCAAAGAACAGGCCATAAGTCAACACTCCAACAATTCTCCTTCAGGAGGTGCTTACTTTTAGTGTCCAGATTTCACACTTTGTTCTATGAAAGGATGAGTCTGAACGGAGAGAGAGGGGAAGGGTGAGGACAAAGAGAGAGAGAGAGAGAGAATGAGGTAAAGGGAGGGAGGGGAGAGAGAGAGAGAGAGAGAGAGAGAGAGAGAGAGAGAGAGAGAGAGAGAGAGAGAGAGAGAGAGAGAGAGAGAGAGAGTGAGAACGGGAATGAGAGAGGAGAGGGGGAAGTAGAGGGAGGGAGGGAGGGAGGGAGGGAGAGAGAGAGAGAGAGAGAGAGAGAGAGAGAGAGAGAGAGAGAGAGAGAGAGAGAGAGAGAGAGAGAGGGAGAGGGAGAGAGAGAGAGAGAGAGAGAGAGAGAGAGAGAGAGAGAGAGAGAGAGAGAGAGAGAGAGAGAGAGAGAAATAGAGACAAAGAAACATACAACCACAGTCACACTCAAACACATACACACACAGTGAGCCTAAAAGTCGAAACTACAGTATAAGACTGATAATAAAACACAGACACAGAAAATAAACGACGCAAATATCGATAACCAAGATAAGAGAAGATCCAGGACTCTCAGACGCGTCACTAATATCGTGATAAGGAGCAACGGCTGATAAAATGAAGATAAAGACTGCACACTGATAATAGATTCCTTGTGCATTGCAGAATTCTAGCCGTATGCTGATAGGAAACGTCATATATAACGCCACAATCTCCGTAATTAATTTGCTCTATAGACGGAATAGCTAATTTTCTTCCCCAAAAATAAGAGGGAAAAAATAAGTGTCACAGAGAAATTAAAAAAAGTATTACAGCAAACGGAAAAAGGATAACAATAATTCTTATTTTAGATATACATTCAACATTAGAAAGGTAAATTCTATGACGACTTGTGCGTAGCTTACAGGGAAACAGGCATACATAGACAGACGTACAGACAGTCGGACAGACAAACACGCAGACAGGGAAAGGTAAACATATATCGATACAGACAGAGATACACACAAACAAACATAAATAAATATAAACAAATCTTACACAAACAGACAAAGAAATATTAACAAATCACATACAAGCAGACAAACAAACATAAACAAATCACACACAAACATAGACAAATATAAACAAATCACACACACACAAACAAACAAACAAACACACACACGAAAGGGAATCTTTGCCCTAAGGCGATTACAAATCACAGGAATTACTGATTAATCCAAGGACACTAAACGAAACCTTGATATTAAATCCACCCTTTTTCGTTCCCTTGATAAATCCTCTTTCATAATTCAGCGGAATTCTTTAAGTATTGTACAGTTTTTGGATTAGAGGTAATTTTTTTTATTGTTATTGCTCTCGAAGACT